ACCCTGCCTCGGAGCCGGCTGCTTATGGACTGAAACCTCCACAAACTGTGAGCTGAATAAGCCTTTCCTCCCTTAACTTTGGGTGTTGAATATTTTGTCTCAGCAATAAAAAAGTAACTAAGACAGTTATCAGTGAATTCACTTCATGCTACCTGGATCAAAGTATCCAAATATCTCCGAATGATTCAGAAAAGACCTTCTTTAGATAACTGCATTTGTCACTTAAACCCTTTTTCCATCCCCTCAAACCCTTATGAAGACCCCAGTCTCACTCTGACGGCACAATTCCTCTCTTGGAAATTCTCCCACTGATCCCCTTGGCAGTATACTTTGATCTAAATAAACTCTTGCCTTTTCTACAAAAATAAAACCACCCCCCAGGCCACACACAAGATAACTATTCACCTCAGAACTGTCCAAACCCCGGCAACCACTTTCCAACTGGCTCCCTTAGCTGCATCCACAACTCTTCCACATGTGGGGCACTTGGATTAGACGCCGGGTGATCCAAAGTTGGCTCTGAGCATTTGTGTATCTCTCAATTGCATGCAAAGTTTGCATGTTAACCTTGTGTGTGTGTGTGTGTGTGTGTGTGTGTGTGTGTGTGTGTGGAAGCGGGGCCTGTGTTTTGCCAACTTCTCACTGGAAACTATGATTGGAGTTGTCCATGTAATTTACCATTCAAGTCAATGCGAAGCACGGGAAAGGCCCTGGGTTGAATCCCTAGCGCCACATGAAACAACTGGTGCCAGAACGACAGGCACACCCGACCCTCAGTACACAAGGGCACGGTTTGCCCTACCTACAGACCACGGCTTTGCACACGAACGTGAGGCCTATCCGTGGGTCAGTTCTGCAGATTCATTTATTTACTATACAAGTGATGTCTCCTCTATCTCCTGTTCCTACTGAGTAGAGGGGGCTCTCCTTGCTGGCACTTGGTGCCCAATAGCCGCTTTACTCACGCACTGCTTCCCTGCTTCTTCCCTACCTGGGCTTACTCTAAATTTTAAGGTACCTGTGAGCATGTTGTTCACTGGATAATCCTGAAGAGGGAAGTACATCTGCTTTTCTGTAACTGGAGCCCTTGAAGAATTGTCTTCTGTGCTATAAAATGAAACATACGTACATACATATGTAGATGTATACATACATATCTACACACACATGCACGCATGCACGTGCGCGCACACATACACACACACACACACACACACACACAGTGGGACCTTGGCACTCCCTAGAAGGCTCAGTGAATACCAAATTGTTTTTGACTGGGTTTTTTCCAGTACCGGGAATCAAACTCACGACCTTTCACTTGCCAGGCAGGCGCTGTGCCGCTGAGCTAAATCCCCAGCCCCCGAATTGTTTTTGAAAAAAAATTATTTTGGTGGAAAAGGCAAGTTGAGTCACAGGCAATCCAGCCCAACAAGTTCCAGCTTGCACATCAAGTACCAAACAGATGAAGAGTCCCGGGACAAAATTTTCACGTCAAAATGCATCAAGTGCCAAACTCGAAGAGCTTCACAGCAGTCAAGTACCAAAGTACAAACGCATATGCTTAGGTTTCTATTACAGTTCAGAATTTCTTAGCTTATTTCAGGCAATACACATTGTAATTTAATGGTTCTCTGATCAGGCTTTAGTCTTACTGAATAAAAATGTTCACTGTAAACCTCTGCTGTGCTTCTGAGTAATGGAAAGGCCTGTATAGATATTTTTGGTTCTCTTGGCCACTTCACAAACCAACTATTCACTGAGCATGTAAAGGCATGCGTCTTTTTCTCAGGATCAGTGAAAGCGGAACAGTACCACCATAGAATTAGATAAAATGTGCATTATGTGTGTGTATGTATATATGCAATCTTAACTATACCAAAAAAAAGTACTGTAGACTCTATTTTAAGGGATTACAGCACTTTTACTTTTCAGCATTCAAATTATTTTATTTTATTTTATTTTTTCTGCGGTACTGGGGATCGAACTCAGGAACTTGCACTTGCCAGGCAGGAGTTTATGCCACTGCGCTATATCCCCAGCCCCAATAGGTACATTTCTTTCTTTTTTTTTTTTTT